GGTGAGAAACAACAACACATCATGGTGCCACAGCGGCACCGGCCAGAGGCTGCCAGTGGCCGACGGTCGGCCAGGTAGGCGACCAGCAACGCACCAACAAGGTGGGGTAGCAGCATGGCGGCTAGCATTGGCCAGGCCGAGGACGGCCACGGCCAGGCCAAGGACGGCCTCGGCCGGCCAACACATGACAGCGCGCGTGCGCATGAGCGACCAAACATGGTGACGTCATGCTCCCGAGCGTGGTGACCGCGCCCACCTAGCCAACCAGCCTGAGATGATGTTCGTGCACATATTTTAAAGCGTTTGCCAAAACTAAATCGATTTGATTGAGGCTCGAGCACCTAAACCATGCTAAAAGAGGGTACATCAAACTATCATATGGAACAAAAACATAGCACTGACCTTTAGCTAAATTTTCCAAAATTAATTCACCAACATAGCCTTGTCACACTATTTTCAAACTTAAGGATTTTTCCAAGTCTTGAGCTGGATTTGATTTCAACTTCCATTTCTAAGCTATTAGAAATACTAGCTAGCAATATTATTTTCCTAAGACAAAAGTTGCATTGTCATCTACAAAGTTTGTACTTCAAACTTTATTTAAATGTCACATACATGTTTTCTAACATTTTTGCTTAATAAAAATTGTTTTATAAACCTACTCGATAACACAAAAGCACTAGAACCTTTCGTAACTAAATCTTTGTTGGGTATTTTTAGTACAACCAAAATTCTATTTTCACTTTCCCACATGTTCTAACACATAAACATGATGCTCATGACGTGGTTAAGTAGTTGGTTTAGGGCGTAACATCGAGGGGGTTACACGCATCCCATCAGCACTGGGATCTCCCTACCTCTGTCCTTCTTGTGTAGGGAGATGGCGAAGAAGTACCTCCACAACTCAAAGTGCGGCTCGATCCACAGGTACCCCTCGCACATCATGATGAAGGCCGTGATGTGCTGGATCCTATTGGGGTTGAGGTGCTGCAACTTGATCCGGTAGTGGTGCAGCAGCCCCCGGAAGAACAGATAAGGGGGATCGCGAGCCCGCGCTCATGGAAGGGCATGAAGGAGATGATGTAACTATCGGGTGGCGTTGGCACCTCGTGCCCCGGGAACCAGCCACTCCATCGTGTTGGTCCTCCCGCAAAGAAGACCATGCTTGACGAGGCCGTCCATGCGTGCATAGGTGACGTCGGAGTGGTACCACAACTCCATGGAAAGCAAAGACGGAGGAGCAAGGACTTCTATGGATCTAGGGCGCTGGCAGCGGATTAACAAAGGCAGCACATCCGAACGACGGTGGTGGAAAGGCAGAGAAGGCAAGGTTGCAGTTTAGCATGCCAAAACATGAAAGGGGAGGCTGCTATTTATAAGGCAGGGTGAGGCGAGAGACGAACCTTCTGCCTAGGTTTATACGCTCGCTGTGCCATGTCACATCGCCCCTGAAGATCGTACGCACGCTACCTCTAGCCACTCCCTCGAAGGATGAGCCAAATGACTATTTGCCCGTTAGATGGGCCAAGAACCGTTGCAGGTAAGTAAGGGATACGAGACTGAAAATGCTCCCACGGCCCGTTACAGCCCACGAGTTCGAAGGTTGGCCCACCAACAGGTTCACAACTGCTCTAGGGCACCTTTAGAGCGAGGGGTGGAAAAGGATGGGCCCGCTAGCGGCCAATACCCAAGCGCACGAGTGCTACAGGCATGTCGACCCATGTTCGAGTCCTAGCCAATGCGATGTCCATGGTTTTTCCTCGAAGAAAGGCAGCGAGCCCTTGGGACCGGACAAACGAATCCAAGAACTATATGGACTGGCCGCCAGGAATCTGGAGTCGGTCACCAACTAACCCATGCCAGACCCTCGCAAATGGGATACCAGGGCCCCACTTGAACCAGCCCATTAACAGCTAACCGAGCACCGTGGTTGGTCCACCGAGGAAAACATGGCACGGCTCAACCTCTCCGTTTTGTCAAAAAACGCTTGAGGGAGAATGATTGCAAGACGAGGCGACCCCTCGATCGGACCCCCGCAACGCGTGGGGGCTCAGGGGGAATTGGACTAGTGAAGAGACCGGATCCTAAGAGGGGCTAGAATTAAGGAAATCCTCTCCGGTCCCCAAAGAAATCCCATAGCTACACATCCTCGAAAGAAGTACGGTCGCAATAGAAAGGGATCGTAACCCACCAAGGCGTCCTATGGGTAGCAGAAGATCGAAGCCCTCGAAGTCCCTCCATCCAAAAAAGCCTACAAAGGAGTATCCTACTCCTCCGTAGGCTCAAGGGCTACTATCGGGTATTAGTATTAGGGATACTCAAAGAAGGGATATGAGGACCACGAACAACAACTCGCCTAGATAATCAAGGACGTAGTTCAGTCTTGACTGAACCTAAAGGGACGGTTTCCGCCTCGCCAGACCCCTCGAGCATGGGCCCCGTGTCGCCCGAACCCCGAGGGTACGAGAGCCATCTCGCCTGACCCTAAGGGCACAGGCTCCGTCTCGCCCAACCCCTCGGGCGCGGACTCTGCCTCGCCCAGCGGGGTCCGTACCACCCATAACCACTATGGGTCCAAGAGTGTGGGCCTAGGTCTAGCCTCTGTCACCAGAAGGGCGCGGGCACGCCTTGACGTGACCCGTGGCCACGACAGGCCATGCCCGAGTGTTCGCATCGCCAACAGTGATGGATGCGTGGGTGCTGTGTTGCCGAATCCTCGTACGGCCACTGACAGGCACGTCAGTTCACCACGCCGTCCGCCGGGACGGGATGGAACGCCACGACCAGTTGATGATGTCGAGGCATAGCACTAGTGGTGAACAGGAGCCCGATGTGGAGCCATCCCCGTCACCATCTACAGCGTCGACGAGACCCGCATGAAGGAGAAGAAGGACGCGGCGGTCCCAGAGGGCTTCTTCTGCTTGATTCTCTCCTCTCTCTCTCTCTCCTCTTTTTCTGATATAAGCTACATCTTCCCCTTCTTCTATAAAAGGGGGAACACAACGCAACACAACACGGGGAGATAGGCATGAGCACACGGCTGAGCAGCTGAACAAACTCTCGGCACTTTTCAATCCTTCCACCAGTGATCTGGGATCCGCTCCCTCTATCGCCCATATGTAACCCCTACTATAGATAGTGCCGGTAACACGAGCAGCAGCAGACTGGACGTAGGGACGTTCTGCCCGAACCAGTATAATCCTTATGTCCTTCGAGCACACTATCCAGGTCAGACGCGCAAACTAGAAATTTACTAGCCGGTGATCCGAAACACCGAAACCAATAAATATGGACTTTTGCCTATTAAAATACCCACGAGAACGTAAATTAGCATATACCGATGCCGTAATAAAGTAAAAACCCAGGTTTTGGGTAATGAGTACCCACTGTCATTCTTAGTCACAGGAAAGTGAACCAGTCACACTCTGATGCCAAGGACAAGCAAGAGACCGAGTGAGGGAGGTTAAAAAAAAGATAGAGTGAGGGAGAAGGGGTGGCTTCCCATGCGCGCTCTCGGATGGCACAAATCGGTTAGGACGTACTCCCTCCGTCCCATTGAATTTGTCGCTCGGGAACCGAAATTATGAGGGGGGGACGGTTTTCAAACGACAAACTCAATGGGACGGAGGGAATACCCAACAATAGCCTTCGAGCTAACTGACATACAATGTTTTCCAACGTGGAGAGAAGAGAATAACTTAGGCCCTGTTTAGTTTTTAAAAAATTTTACCTCAAAGTGTCACATCGAATCTTGCGGCACATACATAGAGTATTAAATATAGACGAAAAAAAAACTAATTACACAGTTGGGTGAGAAATCGCGAGACGAAACTTTCAAACTTAATTAGTCCATAATTAGACACTAATTACCAAATACAAATGAAAGTGCTACAGTAGCTAAACCCCAAAAGTTTCGCGAACTAAACGCGCCTTATTAAACTCATTGCTTGTGAGAAGTCTGTTTGTCGCTAGTCTCGCAGGTTTAAAGCTCTGCCCAGGTTTCAGTAAAGCTCTGCCCTGCATGCATGGCCCACGTCCATGTAGGCATGTACCATGTGGGGCTAGCGATTTTTTTCTTTCTATTTACAATCTGCGCCACATCAGCTGTTGATTTAAACCGCTTGTTACGAACGTCCTTGGCGAAGAGTGTTTCGACTCTCTCCTTTTTCAAACAGGACAGAAAACCTACTCCCTCGTTTTTAAGATAAGGCTATCCGCACTCGTCGACCTCTATTTCCATCTCTAAAAAAAATATTCTATCTTAGTCATCGAGATTCTCTACTATATATCCATTTCTTCCACACCCGTGTTATTTCTATCCCATACTCTATACCCACTATTCCATATTTTATTTCCTCCTCCCCTTTCTCTCTCCCCAACTCTCTCTCTCTTGCTACAATGCATTTAGCGTGTGCACAGTAGTCCTCTAGGAATAGCGCTCGCGCAGCCGGCCGCTACGCGCGCGTGCGCGATACAGGCGCACGGTGTGGGCGCACGCGGCCGCTATCGCATGCGCAGGTGCGTTTGCAGGTGGGTTTGGCGGTAGCAGTGCGGATAGCCTAAGTGCCCATCTCATGCTTGGAGAAGTTAATAAATTCTAAATTTGATCAAATATATATATAAGTTATAATGTTTAAGATATCAAATAAACATCATTAAATGAATTACATTATGTATTTTTATAGTAAACATATTTAAAAATATATGAGTTAAAATTATTATTTAAAAATCTAATTAAATTTGAGAACATTGGACTCGTCGAAGCGTGAGATGGGGCACTTAGACGAGGCTCATGAAAAATTGAAACTTTCAAACGCAAAACAGAGGGAAAGCGAAAAGGCCAAAAAGGGTTTTTGAACGCCGCCGGAAACTTCTTGCTTCCCCATCCCTGAGGAGCGCTGCCGCCGTGTGCCGGCAATCCGCTGTCCGCCTCCACTCGTCGGCACCCGACATGCCCGGTAGTGGTTTTTGTCCCGCTGACACACCCCGCGGCGGATCCCATGCCGATCGACGGGATGGGGTCCGTGGTCGCGACGGTGAGCGGCTACCACGGCGACGAGCGGCACAGGCTCGTCAACCTCATCGCGGAGACAGGCGCCAGCTACGTCGGATCCATGAGCAGGTCTATCACCCACCTGGTATGCCACTACGAATCCCCGGTTGCCTGGGCATCGATTTTTTCGTTGGTTGGTTTGATTCCACGCGGTGTGAAATTGGATTGGTGCGCGCTTCTGGCGTGCAGGTGTGCTGGAGGCTCGAGAGGAAGAAGTACGACATCGCGAGGAGGCTGGACACGAGCGTCGTGAGCCACCGGTGGTTCGCGGAGTGTCTCAGGGAGGGAAGGCGCCTCCCGGATGACCCCTACTTGATGGAAAGGTAGGGGTGGGTTTTGTTCAACTGTTGTGAAATTGTGAGGTTGGACAAGTACCCAGTATCTGTTTCACTTGGGCGAGTGCATGAATCTCTAAGACTATGGAGGGAGTTTTGGGGGCAAAATGTGAAACTGGAAACTGTAATTATGTTTCCATATATGTGCTGCGTTGCTAGAATGAATTTGCTGTGGACAGTTCCAATCCATCTATCACTTTTTGTTCTTTGATTTGTGTCAGTATGTTGACAGTATTTCGCAAATAAAACCTATCTTTCCTTTGGATTAACAGTGGCCAAAAAGCAGGGGCAGTCCCTGTAAACTAGAAGTCACATATACTATTTTATTCTCTTATTCTGTAAAATTGTTGGCTACTTATTTCTCAGAAAACCGTCATTTCTGCGTGGTACACAGTGGTGAAGAAGCAGGGCCAATCCCAGAGCTGTCTGCTCATCCCTGTACACGAGGCAAGAAAAATGCCGTTATGGAGGACATAGTTTTCCAAGAATTACCTGATGATTTCTGCGATACTCCTCCAGCCAGAGCCAGCTATACAATTAGGCTTGATGATTCTGATTTTAAGTCAGCCTTATTAAAAGAAGTAAGGATCATAACCTTCACTTCATTTTGTTCTTGCATGCAGATCCTTGATGTTGTATCGTCTAATCCAATGTGCATTCATCAGGTTGTGTAGATCTCCAGTCTACTATTTTAATTCTATGTCTAGCACATGTATAATGTTGCCCAATCATGGTTCAGCTAGACTCTTTTGGAGTACGAAAGATTTTGCAGGTATATCAGGGCGGCAGTGAGCAGTTATTGTGTATCATAATATGACCTGCCATCTATGCATAAAACATGGCTGCTGGCTGGTAGAGCCGATGAGTCTGATTATATCTGATAATTGGTAATTTATCACATGATAAAGTCAAAATTTTGAATGGAAGTTGTTTACACTAAAATTTGGAAGAAGAGTCACAGGGACTCGAAAGCTCTCAAGATCATGTCATCAAGGAATCAATTATGTGCAGATCGGAACCAGCTGATTCGAATGCAAAACTGGAATCGACTTTCTTCAGATAGCGCCAGCGGATAACGACAAAGGCTATGATCAACGCCAGAACGAGACATGTTGGACTCTACAAAAAGAGAAAGATTAGAGTCCAAGTTATCTTAAATTAGAAATGTTTTCTCTAGGGTCAAAGATTGTGATGAGTCGTGCTTAGACAGGAGTCATACGTAGGTCCCGGGTATAAATATCAAAGCTCGGCTATTGTAAAAAGACACACAATTAATCAAATAACAGTTATTTACTTTTTTCGCCTCCGGCCACCCCTTAGGAGTAGGAGTAGAGTAGATCTCGGTGAGTTCTTCAGCAAGTACGGCTGCATCGATCCGATCGACCACCACTGCTTGTCTGTAAGTACCGTCATGGCTTATACATCTGTTCGTACAGCTGCATCAATCCGGTCGACCTCCACTGCGACTCTGGTATAAGTTAGTTATCGACTCTTGTCTAGTTCAAGTACGGCTACATCGATCCGGTCGACCTCCATTGTTCGAACTAGATTAAGGTTAAGTTATCGGCTCTATCTAAGGGTGGCGTTCTTTTGGATAGATTCATTAAGTTACTGATATTGCTTATTGCTTCCATTATTTATTTAATTACAGCAATATCACTTCGCCCGATTGGGATTGATCCAGATCGGCCTTATATTTTTTTAACCCATCGTTTGTTAATCTAAACTGATCTAATCTGCACTTTAAATGATGAGTTATGCTTTATCAGCTGTTTTACATCAGTCTTGATCGTGCATAACGTGCGGTTAAGGTATGTTTGATCTTGAGTAATCTATTGGCTAGCGAAAACTGTTCCATGGCCCGTTATCACGGCCTGTATGATTCTGCCCCACACCCCACTGTTAGCACCGTAGAGTGGGGATCGTTATTTGGTAGATATGTTACTAAGATGGCATGACCTTAACTGTGCGCTATGCCTGAATCGGCTGTTTTAGCCGATATCGAGCGTTTTCATGAAAAGTTCGCATCACGAGATCGTTGAAGTAGCGATAGGTTGAAAGATGTGTTAGCCTCATGATCTTATTATTGTTCATGCCCACTAGTTATAGCGATAGATGAGATCTAATATGTTCATTAGATTTATCTCTATTAAATGGTTGAATTATGATGAACTGATTCTTTTATAAAGGAGTTCGGTTACTTATCGTCATTGGTTCAGTATAAACAAATTATCGTTGACATCATATTGTCATTGAATAATATTTGTCTAAATAATGATATTCATTCTGAATGATAACCGATTCTTCTTATACAACCCCATGGGCTTTAATCGTTTTATTCTTATGAATATGCTAGAATCAACTATTTAGTCGATCTTCTTTCATATCGGCTCTCAGAGCTGCACATTCGGGACTGTTTGGCAACACCGGCACGTTCCGCCCTAAATTACTGATAAACTTTCTCTCCTTGTCAATTACAGGGTCAAATTGACTGGCACGTCTCTGGAGGAGTGCGTAGGATCGACCATCCCTGCGCTGAAGCTAGGCGGATCTCCAGCTCCATCGAGCGAACCCTTCTGGCTTGCTCGTGTGCCCTCGGCACGGGACGAAATTCCGTGTCGACACACGTTTCTGGTAGGCCCGGTGGGACCCCACAATCGTTATGGCGGTTCACAACAGCAACGACATCTTTATGGTATATTATGAAGATCTGCCTGATGGAGATAGAGATGTCATCGGCAAAGCTACAGAAGAATTTCAGAGCAAATGTTTGTTGTCCTACACCAAAACACGTGACAACACAATTGTTCAGAAATTTTCACTGCCAAGAGTTCTATTACACGGGCAGACAGATACAGCTGGAGCTGAAGACATGCGTTTCTTTATAGAAGTTGTAGACAAATCTGTTCGTGATACCATAACGAAGCTTTCTTGGACATATTCCACAACGCCATGAAAGAGACGATTCATGGGTTTCCAGTTGGTCAAGGTGGCCCGGCTTATTACAACATCGAGTGGATCATTCTGGCTTGCTCGTGTGTCCTTGGTACGGGATGAAATTCCGTGTCGACAGAAGTTGACTGGAAATGGGGGAAATATGGAGTTGACAATAATTTTTTCAACTTATGTCTGATGTATCGGTATGTATAGTTGATAGGACCACATTGAGAACACCAACATTCAGTGACATATCGCTGAGACCCTGGTAGAATTAACGCCGATCATATTGTAAGCTTCCAATTTGAATAGTCAAACCTTTACGTTATATGTGCCCCTCCTACATACCTAAGCGTAAAATTAGTTTCCCTAAAATTTTCGGAAGTGCACTGGACCTGTGTTTTTTATCCATTTTAAAATTCTAGCATTTTTAATACCTTTTTACCCTTTCATAGTGTCATGTAGCAGTTGATAATCAAATGTGTTTCAGTGTGAACCTACTTTTCCAAAAGTGCCGATGTGTCTTGTACTATCTATTTTCTGATGGACCTTCCTTGACCTGTTAGCTTCAGAATTTCGTTGGTGATGGGGGTTCTAAGAAACATCATTCATCAGACTTTAAGGAAAGAAGAAAGCGTTTGAAGCATGTCAACACATCAACAGACAAAGATGTCCTAAACCTGCAGGACAATGTGTCAAATGTCATGGTAATATATATATGCAAGTTCATATTTAATTATTTATCAACCCCTTTTGTTGAACTATAGCGAAGAAAGTTTACAGGTCCTCTGCTTAATATCCTGAATCCTGATCAAGTACCCTTCAAATTTCAAAAAGTTCATATTTTGGTGTTCTATTTTGTTTAACAATTATATCTGATAAACAAAGGACCCGGTAGCTTAATCCCATGAAGAAGAGAGTTCAGCACCTTCTGTACAGCTGCTTAAAATATGCTAATGATTAAACTCGAGGCACCACACCTTTTTGGTGATATTGTTTTACGCCCCGTTTAGTTGCCCGGAATCGGCAGTGGTAAAATCACGGTAGCGCAATGTAGCATTTCGTTTGTATTTGGTAATAATTGTCCAATCGTTGACTAATTAGGCTCAAAACATTCGTCTCGCAAAGTACAACTAAACTGTGCAATTAGTTTTTGATTTCGTCAACATTTAGTACTCCATGTATGTACCGCAAGTTTGATGTGACGGGGAATCTTCTTTTTGCATAGTGCCAAAGTTTGGATTTTGGGGTAACTAAACACACCCTTAGATTTATGCAGGCGACATTAATTATTTTGGCATGTGGTCCATGTTCAAGATTACAAAATCAATGTTGTCACTGCTGCATCTCATGTAGCCTGCACCTGTTTGGGTATACATGTTTTGATGAATAGATGTGCACTTTTGCTTGTCATCACATTTTTATTATTTGCAATCTTATGCATGTATCAATTATCAAATGACAATACAGGCAAGACAGCGCCTTCATGTGTCAAGTTACACAACGTCCAATAGCACATCAAAGCAGAAGGGAAACTTCTCATGCTTTCTCCAGAATGAAGTTCCTATCAGGATGGGAGAAAGGGACGATTTTACTGGAAACTTTGACAATGATAATTTGTCTTACAGCTTCAGTGAACCTCAAACTTCAGATACTCTGTCTATAGGAGCTCGAAGAAAATTTAATAAGACAAGTGCATCATCATCATCAATTCGACAAAGTACCCTGGAGTCTCTATATGAATATGGTGAAACTAGTAGCAGTAGGCATGAACGAGAGGTAAGAAAAGAGCTAGACAACGTTGAATTAAGGTAGACTTCAAGAAGCTTGCTTTCATGTGATTTGTCAGGACAGGAACCAGCTTTCTGTACTCAGGAGCAAGTTGATAAATGTAGCCTTGGCACTCTAGCTGATGATGAAATGGAAGTTGATAACAAACCCGTGGAAAAATCATGTAATTTAGAAAGGCAAGAAGAATTATCATGTGTCATATGCTGGACGGATTTTTCTTCTACAAGGGGCATCTTACCATGTGGACACCGATTCTGTTATTCATGCATGCAAGGATGGGCAGATCGTTTGGTATGTATTAGTTTGATTCTTGTTTCTTGACTTTTGCTTATACTAGCAGGGAACCCGCGCGTTGCCGCGGGCAAAAAGAGCAAGCTGAAAAAGCCGAGTTGCATGGCATAATTGCAAATTAGGACACTTCGGCTCACAACAATTTGACTGTAATAACAACAGTGATATGGAAACGAACTTTATAAAAGCAAGATTGTTCATTACATGATGAAATGGAGCCTATAAGTTGTGAACGAAATCGTTATTTCTGAAACCTTAGACCATTGGACGGAGTGTCCTGAAAGCACACACCTAGAGAGTGCCAGAGTAGGCTTTGGGTTTGTTTCACTTCACTGTAAGATTGTTTCACTTCACTTCACTGGAATGTAACAATGGTGTTAAGGTGCAAAGGATACTTAGAAAATGAGACTTTTATCTGTGTACCTTAAAAAAGATACCACACTCCTACGTACCCCTCAAAAGTTGGTCGTCACCTACATGCCCTCACTCGTACTTTTCTTTTCCCTCACGCCATTCCGTCGGCATTTGCTCCTAACGGTGGATAACGGCTCTGGAGAATGACTCAATTGCCCTTGGGCTTGTATGGGCGTCTGAACTTTTTCGTTTCCCCTGTGCCATTGCCAGGCCAATTGGCTTTGGCGCCAGAGACGCCGTTGTTGACGCCAAAGGACAGGGATTTGGCGCCAAAGAGCCTGCCCTTCTCCTATATATTGGAGCCGGGCCGGGTGTCCTCGTCGTACAGCTCGTAGATGTAGGTCGGCACATCAACCCCGGGGTGCTTGGGCGTGCGGTGCTGTTCATCACGTGCGGATGAGGTTGCTGTTATGCGTGTCGGCGTTGTCGGAGGTGGCGTCGGGCTCAAGACGGGTCGCCTTGTGTGCGGCCACCGGTCTCCGTCACCATCACCGGACGCGTTGGTGACGTTGGACGACGCCATGGCGAAGTAGGCTGCGTCCACCACCGCGTCGAACACGTTGGTGTAGTGCAGCAGGGTGTTTGCGTCCACAGCCTCCTTGTTGGGCGGCAGCGGCGGAACAGCACGTAGTCCAGCGGGATGACGCCGTTGGAGCGCATGTAGTCGTAGTACGGGTACACGTTGAGCATGAGCGGCGACCCATGGACTGCAGGAACTTGAGCATCGGCACCAGCACGCTGTCCAGCGACCGGTTGAAGAAAGCCTGCGACTGCGGGAAGGAGTCGAGGATGATGGACGACGAAGCGCGGCGTCGAGATCTTGATGTACCGGTCCAGCGCCGCGCCACCAGCAGCAGCGTTCTGGAGGTAGCGCATGGGCGGCATGAGCAGCGGCGCAGCGTTGGGCTGCGCGGACAGCACCTCGGAGCCCACGGCGATGGCAGTGATGTTCACGGAGGGGAAGTGCGCGGCCACGTTGCGCGCCACCCAGTTGCCCGCCGTCGCATTGGAGTTGCCGATGGCCAGCAGCTGCTCGTTAGGCACGGACACGATGACGCGGATGCCGGTGTTGGACAGCGCCGCCAGCATCGCCGGGTCGGCGTCGTAGAGGCGGACGTGGCGGATGTTCTGCAAGCGGAGCAGCGTGGTGATCTGCGTCAGCGCCGGGACCGACGACATGGCCGTGCCAATGTTAACGCCGATGTGCGCACCTGCAAGCAATGACAACAACAACAAAAAACAGAGAAACCAAAGTGTTAGAAATCTTTGTTGATAATGAAAGTAAGGAGTGATAGAAATCTAACCACGGTAACAAGAGTATCACAGTTTTCCTATTGCAAAACGCCAAAACTTAAGAAAAAAACGCAATTGAACCTGTACACGTTTTTTTGAACGGAGTGAGTAGATTATTTTTTTTCCTGTGATTTGATTAATGAAAGACTGGAAGTGAGTTGTAAGGCAGGAATCCAGATAGAAAAACACATTCTTTCGAGCAAAGCTGTGCCTGGGTGGAACAAAGAATTTAAAAAAATGATCGTACACTCTACAGTAGAAAACAAGCAAGGACCAAATGCATGATATGGGAGACGACACAAAGCTAGCTTGTGACATGGCTGTCAAAGAGAGAGGGCTCAATAGAGTAGCAACTCCCTGGCCTTTGACGCCAATATATAGGAGGAGAAGAGCAGGCTCTTAGGCGCCAAATCCCTGTCCTTTGGCGCCAACAGCGGTGTCTCTAGCGCCAAAGCCAATTGGCCTGGCAATGGCACAGGAGAAACGAAAAAGTTCAGACGCCCATACAAGCCCAAGGGCAACTGAGTCATTCTCCAGAGATGTTACCCACCGTTAGGAGCAAATGCCGACGGAATGGCGTGAGGAAAAAGAAAAGTTCGAGCGAGGGCATGTAGGTGATGGCCAACTTTTGAGGGACACGCAGGAGTGTGGCATCTTTTTTAAGGGTACACAGGTAAAAGCCTCCTAGAAAATGGTGTGAGGTGCAAAGGATCCCATGAGCTAATAACCTTGCATAATTGAAGCTTGATGTGAAGGGACTCCATGCCTGGGAAGCAAGCTGCAAGGAAACCTGAGCAAACCTGAGGAAGGCGCTTGTCATCTCATCTTCATGAACCTAAATGACACTGTATTTTTGGACAAACAAAATAGGAAAAGATGTAGATTCAGTAACCAAAATTTTAATCTGGCTTCAAACTAAAATCCTAAAGTTTACACAAAGTATGGTTAAGCTGAACTAAGTGTTAACTTTATAAGTTCTACATTCTGTATAGTAAAATCACATATAGTGATCTGAGATGGAGCGTTTATGGTAGAATCATATATTTGAATATACTGCTCTAAGATAGGCACTCAATCACAAATACACCAAGGGAAGGTCTACACAATACGGTCAGACACGAAAATAACTGAATTGCAGAATCCACAAAAAAAATTTATTCCACTAAATAAGAAAGAGTTACTGCATTCCAGCTATAAAACTAACATGGTATATCAAAATCAGCCAATGTTCATTAATCAAGTCACTGGGCATCGCCTATTGCACAACTGGCTCACCTAGAATCATCCCTTGTCAAAACCGATAATGTTGCATTTGCACAGGATGCTGCAACTCTTGGTCCTACTTCAGCGGCCAAAAAATGCAACCTGCGAGAATATTAAGACCAGAGATGTGAATAGATCTTTACACAGATTGAGCATGGTCACATATATTATAACGGCATACAAAACTGCACGGTATGCAACTGCGACCTGCAAGCTGCGAGGGTTTACTAACAGAAATTGTGAACCTATTTGTTTCTTCTGTTCACCTTTATATAATGCTTCCAAGTCCCACCCAATGGCCCCCTGTTTCAGAGTTAGCATCTTCACACTGAAATATTATTATGCACCACCTATTCCTGTATTCTATTGAAGTTGTTATCATCATAACCAGGAAAGTGTGACACAAAGTCTCCTTTTATCTGAAACAATATTCACATGTCTCAGTAAAATCTGAATAGTATTTAAGCAGTATTAAACGATAAGCTCAAAAGAAGATGAAGGAACACGGGTACACATCAATATTTCTCTAGTCTATAATGTAATATGTTCAGGAGAGTACATTAAGATTTAGGATTTAGGATGTACGCAGAAAACAATTGCAGTATTAAAGGGATTAGATAGGTTTTGTAGGCCTGATCTGCTGGCCTTTTCTGGATTGCAGCTGCAGTTGTTGCTGCAGAGACCAAACTGCTTATATCCTGTAAAGTGTACTGCTTGTGTTCACCTACAGCTGCAGCAGGAAGATGACAACTGATCCGGATGTTGATTATGTAGAACGTATATATAGGGTAATTTAGGAAGAAACAATAGGGATAAGCTGCAAAAGACATACATTGGGCAATCTAGAGGCATGCAATAGTATAGTAATAACATGAACCTTTATGTATCTGGATTAACCGAATCAAATCGGCATTATCTAACCATTCTAGAATGCTTCAAACTTGATCACGACATTTGTGTTTTTTTAGACATTTGGATAATATATTTCAGTTGTATGACTACCAAAAAGAAAAGGTAATTAACTGATTTATGGAGAAGTTCACATCACAATGTACCATGTTTGAACCATATTACATGAAGATAAAAATATCGGTAATTAACTGGAGGCAGCCATTTCAATAAGAGATGCAGTCAACCAGCAGCTCACATCAACCTACAATGTCTTTATATCTGATCTTCTGAGCACACAATAAACTAATATTATTATGGCATACTATTATGGCATGAAGCACATATCCTTACGCCGATAGACAGGGCGAGCAAAGTCGGAAAAAGGACATTTGAATTTATGATTTATAAGAAGAAAAAAGAGGTCTTTACTCAATGATGGAACCAAAAATGGGTTTGCCAAACCATTTTGAGCAAAGCATTATTGGATTGGCGAGGCAGCAACAGTACCTCTGTTGGTGCTGCTTGTTCTGCCTTCTGTCCATGCACTCATCGGACATGAAACTGGAAAAAAAGTAGGAATCTGTTAGCAATAATCTCCTTTTTTTTATGCACTTCTTGGCAGATAGCATGCAACAATCCATATTAAGTACATCACAATTACAGCATGGTATAAAGTACGAACTGCAGGAAGGTGGCAAGTGGTAGATCAAAAATTGTAGGGAGTTATATGATCAAAGAATGTAGCATAAATCTTTATATGAACCAACAGAACTAAGGAATCAGGACACTGTTGAGAATGGCATATGCATGAAGAATTTAACGTTGATGAGCCAAACCTTTTGTTTTAGCAACGACAGCTATTACATTACATAGATCAAAAAGCAAAAAAAATCAGATCTATATAAATGAAATGTGGTGAGAAGAAATTCCATTGAATACAACAATACAAAAAAGGGATGACCACATATCGAAATTTGTGTACCTGTGATTTGAATGATTCTATACTTTTTTCTCCACGAACATGTTACCCTTAAATGGGTGTCATCTATATCTGCTCGTATAGCCTATGCATCAGAAAATAACCTCAGGCTTATTAATCCTGGCAGCAACATGTTGAAATCTATATTCCTGAAGTATAGTGAGAACAAATTCCATGAATATAATAATATAAAAAGGAAAAAATGCACATAGAAATTTATAGAGCTGCTAAATGACTATATATATATATATATATATATACAACTAAAACATTCATAACTATTCCGTCCACAGGTGTGACACCAAAACCGCTCCATGCGATCAAATCAGAAAGGCAACGCGCACTTGCTCTATGCGATCAAATCAGGAAGGCAACGCGCACTTGCTCCATGCAATCAGCTCAATCCCCATAACAGCCATAGCAAATCAGAAAAGCAAATATCAATTCCCCGCGATAGATATTTTTTGGTGCCATAGTCACCGCTTCGGGTCGTCGGTCTACAGTAAAAAAATTACTAACGTTATCATTGGATGAGGAAGTTGATCGCTTTGCCCAGCTTAATTAATCCAGCTTCCGCGTCGCCCGGCTGCCGCGTGTCCCTGTAGTCCGTTGGCCGTTCCGTCTTTCCACGTATTCACGTATAGGCGCATGTTAGTCGCTAGCTCGTTTGCCATGGAGAGGAGTTTCAGCCGTGGATCACGTATTCACGATATATTGGGGGACACGCAGCAGCCACGTCAGTGTCGTCAAGATCGGAGAACTATGGTCGACGCCCGTCGCATATACGAAAAAAATATACAGCCAAAAAAAAAAAGGTTCCAAAACAAACACTTCCACGGGCAAAAAAAAGTGTTTCAGAAAAAAAAAACTCTTCCAAGTCGTTCACAAGGCTGAAAAAAATACGTTTCCCAATCTGTACAACTAAAACATTCATAACTATTCTGTTCACAGGTGCGACAACAAAACCGCTCCATGCGATCAAATCAGGAAGGCAACGCGCACTCGCTCCATGCGATCAGCTCAATCCCCATAACAGCCGCAACAAATCAGGAAAGCAAAAATCAATTCCCCGCGATAGATATTTTTTGGTGCCACAGTCACCGCTTCGGGTCGTCGGTCTACACTAAAAAATTACTAACGTTATCGTTGGATGAGGAAGTTGATCGCTTTACCCAGCTTAATTAATCCAGCCTCCGCATCGCCCGGCTGCCGCGTGTCCCCGTAGTCCGTTGGCCGTTCCGTATTTCCACGTATTCACGTATATGCGCATGTTAGTCGCTAGCTCGTTTGCCGTGGAGAGGAGTTTCAGCCGTGGATCACGTATTCACGTATACATAGGGGACCTTGGCGGCCACGCATGTGTTGTCGACGGGAGCATGGTGCGCGTATTTGTCGCATATCTGAAAAAAATATCTGACCAAAAAAAAAAAACGGTTCCAAAACAAACACTTCCTCGGGCAAAAAAAAGTGTTAGAAAAAAAAACTCTTCCACGTCGTTCACAAGGCCGGAAAAATACGTTTCCCAATCTCTACAACTAAAACATTCATAACTATTCCGTCCACAGGTGCAACACCAAAACCGCTCTATGCGATTAAATCAGGAAGGCAACGCGCACTCGCTACATGCGATCAAATCAGGAAGGCAACGAGCACTCGCTCCATACGATCAGCGCAATCCCCATAACAGCCGCAGCAAATCAGGAAAGCAAAAATCAATTCCCCGCGATAGATATTTTTTGGTGCCACAGTCACC